TTTTTTTATTTTTTACGTAATCAACTGGTAGGATCATGTGCAGCTTAGAACTTTTTCAGATAAGTTTGATTCTATAGGTATTTATTTCTTGTCAAACAAATTGAGGAAATATCTCCCCCTTCCCAAATCCTGGCTGCACTCTCTACTCCCTCCGCTTTAGCTTTTTCCTCTCCATCTCTCTCTCTCTCTCTATCTGCAGGCTTTTCTTCCGTCTTGGATTCAATGGATTTGAGAAATCTTTCCATGGTCGAAGTCCAAGTTTTTGTTGCAAAAATTTTCTAGGCGCCCAGTAGCTCATCCTAAATCGCAGTTCAGCTCGTACGAACAACTGCTTTTCTCTTCATCAGATTCGGTGAAATGCGTTACAATAAGTGCTTCCAGATGAGGGGCGTTTATCTTTAAGGTCAGCTTCGAAACTTGGTTCTTTTTTATTGATTTTCTGTTAACATGATTTATTTGCTGTCTCCTATTTCAAAGTTGTGATTTTGGGAAGATTATTCGGTTTTCTTCAATCCTAAGGATGAGTATCTATGATGAATGGGATCAATCGTTGTCTTTTTATTGAATATTTCTTCGTATGTTTTCCTGGAACATCTTATTTTCTGTGTGAGTTTCAAAGCTGCACCTGTGTTCGTATTCTATTTTTTTTTCTTATTTAATGTTTTCACCCCTTTTATGTTTGATATTCTTATGGAGCTCGAGAGAGTTACTTAAGCGAGCCATGGAGTTGGAAAGTCTAAGATTTCCTTTTGAAACTTGTAATTCTACTATCCTTTTTTTCTGGTTTTAGATCTGAGTTATTTGAACAGTACTTATGGTGATTTTCATGGAAAAGTTCTCTTGGAAGATTACAGAATAACAATTCTGTTTCTATGCCTTGTCATTTAATTTAAACTTTATTTTTTTTTTTTGTATATTAATCATTGGTATCAAGATTTTGTTCATTAAGTTTCCCAGATTCAAAAACTGAGAAGAACCGTGAAAGTGTTAGCTACTGTCGATTTTGAGATAAATGGGCAGAGGAAGAGGGAAGGGGAAGAAAATAGCAAATGCGTCAAGACATGGGGACCCGGACAGTGGAGGTGAAGAACAACTTCCTTTGCATAAGAAAAGGGGAAGGCCCCAAAAACCGTCGAAAAATGATGCCAACGAAAATGGAAGTGAGAAGAATGAAGAAGATGGGGATGATTTCCTACCTCATTTTAAAGAGGAAAACTGCACTGTTCTGGAGAATGCGAAGAAGAGAAAGAGATATTTTCGGGCACAAGAAAATTCCGATACAGTTTTGGAAGAGAAAGAGGCCAGTATCGGATCAAAAGTAGAGGATACAAAAAAGACTAATGGCTTCAGGCATAATGGAAGCAGACGCAAGAGTAGACCTCACAGAGCAGCCGAAGCAGGAGTACCTGTAGCGGCTGTCTACAAGGGGTTTTAACTATTTGCTCGCACAGAATGTTATTTTGATGCTTCAGCATTTCTTCTCTTATGTTCGTACATTGCTATTTGCATTGAGTTTTTCAGTTTCATCATTGGACTAAATCCTTTTGATCAAAGATGGGATATGCATTGTTTATATTCATCTAATCTTTTAGCGTTTTTTTTTATATGTTGCTAAGCATATTTGAAGAGCATTTATTTGTATATGTACGCATCATATTTGTTGCAAAATTTTTCTTTTTTTCTTCTAATGTTATATATTTGTACTACAAAATCGCTAATGTTTGCTTGATGACAAAAATGTTAAATTATAGAAGAATATAAAGAATGGTCTTCGTATCGATAATGTTAAGAGTTGTTGAGCTTTTAAAATATTAATGGTCGTTTTTAATTATTTAAATTTAAATGGTGTATTTTGTTAAACACATGTCTTTTTAATGTTCTTTTTTACTAAATTGTTTATATGTTGCATAAAACTATCGGTATGCTTATGTAGTTAAAGAAGACGCTTTTGAAAATTCGTAATGTTGAAAGCATATTTGTGTTATATATTAGAACTGTTTTTCATAACATTGAGCAACGCGAAATTGAGGAAGCTTTGGATATGCTATATGACTTTCAAGGATGCGTCCTAAAAATCGTTGTCTTTTTTTTTTTACTTTGATTTACTTTGATTGCAAAAAATTGTCTATAAAAAATTTCTATGATTTTTTTTTTTTTGGTTGCGGCTTTGTCATATGACATGATTGTAGTGCGTTATGTTAAGTTGGTAAGCAAGGTCACCTCAAAATTATCTAGTCATGTTTCTTGATAAATTTTATTATTTACTTTTATTCAATCGATATATCCATTATATAATTATTCATGAATCCTGATTTATCCCTCAGAGAGGGAGAGAGGGAGAGGGAGAGACCGAGTGATAGAGAGGGAGAGGGAGAGTGAGAGAGAGATGGAGATGAACTGTAAAATGTATTTTTTATTGGCCTTTTGCCGAGGAAATAATTCCCTATTTATAGATAATAGGGGCATGATATGTGTAATCAATCGATATATCCATTATATAATTATTCATGAATCCTGATTTATCCCTCAAAGAGCGAGAGAGGGAGAGGGAGAGACCGAGTGATAGAGAGGGAGAGGGAGAGTGAGAGAGAGATGGAGACGAACTGTAAAATGTATTTTTTATTGGCCTTTTGCTGAGGAAATAATTCTCTATTTATAGATAAGAGGGGCATGATATGTGTAGTTTCTCTTACATTTTTATGGGGGCGTTATAGAATA